ATATATATATATATATAATATCATTGGTGTAAAAATAAAGAATTAATTTTTGAATTTTTTCTTAGATGAAAATCACAGGTTATCTATAATAACTCATTAACTTTTGGTAAAAAGAAAAATTAACCACACATTATTTTCTGTGAGATTCACATACAAAACAATGGCCATTTGATTTTTACTGAAAACAAAACAAAACTGTATATAATTTTTCCCATATTTTTGTAAAAAAATTAATAAAATTCCAAAAATGTTATAAATATCCTATTATAAAACAAAAATATATAATATATTTTTTATCCTAAAAAATATCCTAAAGCTCATAAAAAGAGGGATAGAAAAAATTATTTTTACTGACTGAATAAGATTTTTAAAATTATGACTCAATTATTGACATAATTCTTATATAATACCAACTAAAGTAATAAAGAATTTTTAATTAGTGAGGTTTTAGTAATACACCTCTTTTGGAAAAAATAATAAAATATGTCCTAAAATTCAATATAGAAATTCTCAATATTTAATTGTAGGAACTATTAAACTGTTAAAACTAAATACCGTCTTGAACAACTTCTTCATCTAATTTATGTTTTTCTTTAGCATAATCAATAATGTAACTATAACCATTACAACCTCGTTGTTTGACTCCTATTTTGAGGCCAATCTAGAATAAAATTTAAAGTATTTTATTTATAATTTAAAATCGAAATTTCTTATAACTTACGCAATCAGGTTTTTCAAAAAGAATTTTTTTCAGTTGTTCTTTAGCTGATTGAGTCTAGACACAAAAAAAAGTTATTTTTGTACATTACAAAGATAAAAATACTTATTAACTTCCATTTAATTTAATAAAGGAGAATATACCTGCAAATATGTCTTTGTCAGGCCCATAACAAATTTAAAAAAAGAAAATTTTAATTCAATATATAAGATAGATTTTTTCTATAAAAATGTACAAATTAATTTTTAATGAGGTTAAGAATTTTTTAAATTTAAATTATTTATACAATGCAGAAATTTATTTAAAAATGTCAGTTTTAAAAAATAGATACTGGAAATAAAACTTTCAGGTAAGTAAGTTTAATGTTAATAAATTTGAACGTCTTTAAACTTTAATAATAACATTTTCTTATAAATAAATAAATAAAATTATCTATGAAAAAAATATTACAAACCAAAATAAGTGCAGCCTTTGTTGACTGTTTGGCACCTAATACTGTTCTGACTGAGGCAGAAGCTATACGCCCAGTCATTGTTGAGTGTTTGGCAAATCATTCAAAAATTAAACATTTTTATTAGTAAAAAAAATAAACATAATGCCAATTGAAGTACTAGTCTTTATCAAAGAAAGCTAATAACAAAATTAATAACCTATGTAACAATTATGAAATAGCATTAGAAAATTAGTATAAACTACTTTAAACCTTATCAAATTTGATTATCACAAGATATGATTTCTAACAGCTAGTATCACTTTACAATTTGACATAATTATTAGTAATGATAATTGATGTATAAAGAACAAATGTAAAATGCCTTGTACTACTTAGAAAAACTATCAAATTGTAATCATACTTCAACAATTAGATTCTACATTTAAAATTCAGAACTTCCTAAGTGATATCCGTCAAGATAAAATGTTATAGTTTTATAATGCTAGAGAAAGTATTAAGAAAGAACTTTTAGATTATATTTTATACATTTGTTGAAATTATCGTCTACTGTAACATCTCTCGTGTACCAGTTGTTATGCAAATTTATGGTTCAACTAAAATGTACGAAAGAATATTTCATGGCTAGTCGTAAAATTAAAATTCCCAAGTTACTTAAATATATTATTTTGCGTAATATATATTTAAACGATTTCAATAAGCTTATTTCTCTGTAAGAATAATAGAATTTAAAAAGTATTAAAGACTGGTTAGTGTGTGTATGAAAGAGAGCAATATTAAAAACGATACATTTTTTAAGTTATCATTCACAAAAAATGTTTTAACATCAATTAAATTCACATAATTACACATAATTTACAACAACCACATATGCAACTTGGTAATCATGTAAAACCGATGTTTTATGGGATTAGATTAATATATTGCAATAGTTATGCAGTATGATCCAACAATTTATGTTTTTTTAACGTTCAAATGAATAAGTTTTTTGTACCAACATAAAATTCATTATTGTGATTCCTGAAACATCCGTTTGTCTTCGTTAGTTATTAGACGTATCGCCACGTTGAAATAAAACGTTACATAATCATGAATTTAAGCCACATTCTAACTATAAGGTGACCGTTGTTAAACGATACGTTTAATGAGAGTGGCAACATCGCATTAACTGATCGGCAATGCCCGTTTATAATCGTTTAAGTTCGGGTAGTGCCGATCGCATAGTCTGGTCGCTTTCGTATGCCCAACGCCGCCAATCGCCGTTACTGCGGCTCGGGAGCCAGCGGCGGCCCTCAGTGCACGTCCGCCATCACTGTAAGTTGTGCTGTGCGTGCTGATGTGGGCCGACGTGCTCTCCGAACTGAGACCGAATAAGGCCTCATGCAGAAGACTTTTTTCGACATAAAACATAGGTTATTGAGCGCATTGGACGATGAATACAATGTAAGACACTATTATTATTACAAAATTCCCGTAATATATCATTTTTATAATTTTTATAAAAACTATATTGTTAAGTACACTTATAAATAATTTTTTACACTGTGGTTTACGTGGTGGCGCGTTTTACGAAGAGAAAACATGACGGCGGCCTCATTCAATTTACATACCGTTTTATTCAACACATGCAGTACCTAAGGTCCCCAACATTCGTAAATGAAAACGTCGTCGGCGTGGCGCTCTTGGCCGACGGACGCCCGTGCAGCGCGAGATGTCCGCGAGGTTATGTGTGCCGCTGCGATCGTGGTAACGGGCGTGCGCGCGCGGTGTCTGTAATGGCTGAAAATAGGTTTCACGCTACATCTGCGGCGGGTATAGCGAGCACTGATGACATTCTGTCGAACGTGACTTAACGCGCTGTATTGCGCATGCGTAATGAGTCGATAGTTCCGTTCCTTTTTATGCTGTTCGTTCCGCTATCTCTTCTGTTCGTTGCTCATGCGTTCCCGTATTTATATTCGCAACATTATTATTGTACATCTTTGTTTTCGATAAACATTGCATTTATGTTTTATGGGTTTTGTCACCGTCATGTTGTTTGCGTTTGTCTACCACTCTCTCTCTCATTTAATATTTAACACGTTAATAATTTCTTAATAGCCGTCCTTGTTTATTGCCTAGACATAAAAACTTTTCATTATACCTTTTGATTCACTCCCCTTTTATTCAACTAGTTCTTAACACCCTCTGTGACTAGAATAGTTAGATCAATGTTCGATTTCGAATTTCTAGGGTTTCTCTTTGGGGGTTGCCATGTAAATAAAAAATTTTAAGAATACTCTTTTAGTATATCTAGAGTACTATTAAAATTATATTTATTTAATGATTGTTATTTATATGAAAATTTTGATTATTATGTATACATCTTTTTATTAAAATTATTTTTACTGTAACAACTTGATTACTATAATGAATATTATTTCATTACTCAAGTGTTTCAGTACAGCTAAAACTATGTTAAAATATGTGATTTTATTTATGACTAAGCTAATTACAAATACAGTTGTTTTCTTTTTCAAATGAAACAAAACAATCTATAATTTAAAATAACTTCTGATGTAAATAATTTTGTCGAGTAATTAGCATAGAGACAATAACCTTAACTTTAATTTATGTCATGTTTTTAACTAAACCTTATTTAATTTAATAGTTTATTTTTTATCTAATTATTCTTTAAATTCCTATTTCAATTTGTTATGTTTTTCCATATTAATGGAACTATTAATTGTGAATAAATTATTAAGAATTTATTAGCCATCTGTAAATAAATTGTTTTTTCATAAATAAAATTTCATGAAAAATTGACAAATTATTATTTTATTTTACAATCATATGCTTTTTCTTAATTATTTTTTAATCTAATTCAGTTTACCAACAAATGTTAGGAGAAGAAATTTAAATCCTACTTGAATTTTGATAAGTTTAATCAAGATCTATCTGAATATTTAATACTTACCCTTAAGTTAAAAATTAAGTTGGAAATAATTTGTAGTTCTTAAATTTTTTTCATTACAGTAATTAAATGTTTGTTCAATGTAGAAAATTAACTAATAATAATTATGTATGTAAAGTTATGTCAACTAATTTTTAAAATTAAAAAACATTTTTATCTTATTATGTACTATTTTTTACATGGTAAAATCATTTTTGAAAAAGTATATGTTTATTAAACAAAATATTTTACTTTTTTTAATGTATGACAATATAGATACATATAACATCTGAAGCTCTTTAAAATTTTATAATTAAAAAAAAATTGTGAACATAGTAATTAAGCTTACTAAACTTTTTATATTTTTTTTAACTTTTCAAATCTCAAGAGATCAATTTTGATTTAAGATAATAAGACATTTTGGGTATTAAGGCAAAAATATTTGTAGAAAATATTTGAACAATTTTACTACAATGTTCCCTCCGAATTTAGATTAATATATATTATATTCACACTTTGAAATTATGTTTTTATATTCTACTAATTTTGATGTACATGAAAGGGGCTTACGAAAAAATTAATATTACTTTCACAATTACTATTATACTTATAAATATTTTTATTAATAAGTCAATTTCTAGATATTTTTGAAATTATAAAGTAATAGATTTTATTAAATATTGCCTTGTTTATGGTTTGAATTAAATTAAAACAATACAATTATTAAAAATAAAAAGATATTAAATAATATAATTTTTTTAAATTCAATTTTATGTCTGGTTGATTAATGTTCAAAAACCTTGTATATGTTTAGTTTAAGCTAATAGTTCTTGTTTGTTTTTCAAATAGTTACTTGTAAATTTATACTTTTAAAATTAAAACTACATAATATTTTCATAACTTATACTAATAATTAAAAATAATAATAAAAGGTTTTTTTAGTTTTATAATGTTGGCGTATTTATTTTTATTCCAAAATGAATGTTGAATTACATATTCCATTTGATTTATCATTTTCTAAAGAAGTTAAACTTCAATCTATATAATATTGTGAACTTTTCTATTAATTAACAAAAAAAAATTTTACCAGACTTATGTTATTGTATTATTCATTATTCTTACAATAATTACAAACTTTACAATTTATTTTTTTTCAATTTCAACAAAATAGATTATTAAAAAATATAACCTATTAGGTTATACAGATAAATATAAAGCTATAAATGAAGAAATATTTTTTTGTTTTCATAAAAAAAATTTTAAAAGTCATATATTATATATTAACTAGATTGAGACTTTTTTTTTAATGGTTATAGGTTACCGACATGTCTACAGTGTTTGAAGTTATATCAACCCTTGAGCAGCTCCCAGTCACCACCGAGGTGCTTGAGGTATGTAAATTATCTATGAAACTCCTATCCCTTCATTAAAATATATAATAAAATCTAGGCTACTCGTATCGGTAAAATGGTTAACGAATTACGACGTAAGACTGTGGACAAACAATTGGCCAAACGCGCTAAAGAACTTGTTCAACGATGGCGTAACTTGATGATGACAAATGCACAAGCTTTACAGCAAGCGAAGTTGCCATCCTCACAACCCAATGGTATGATTAGTAATTACACCAAAAGACCAATTACTTCACCAGATCAATGTACAGCACCTTTAAAAGTATGAAGTACATTTTTTTTTTTTTTTTTAATATATTACATAATATTATATATATTTTTATTACATAGAAACCAAAATTAAATGGAGTACTCCCTTTGAGCTCAACCATCACGTCTCCATCAGTTCAAAAAACACCAGAATCTATTCCTAGTCCAGTAACTGAACTTGAAAATGAACCAGAATCAATTTTAGAACCTCCTGGTCCTAAAAAACGCGGTCGTAAAAAAGGAGGTAAAAATTCCTCAAAGTTAGGAATTACACCTTCTAATCCTGTTGATTTAGAAAAAATGGTAAGCGTTGGATCTAGTAAATTAAAAACTACTCAAGAAATAATTGCATCTTTAAGGAAAGATGATGAAAACTATCAATTGGAAGAGAAACCACAAACACCTATACTAGAGTTTCAAAATGATCAACCTTCAACTCAAGTAGACAAATGTATTCGACCTAAAGTTACTGATATAGACCGAGAAATAGAAGAAATATATAATAGATTACCTCCATTGGATTTAGATAATATAGACTGGAATTCCCCACCTCCAATGCTATCACGATTACTTCCATCACCTACTGATTTAATTGATGGAGCACAAATTGAAGGCATTAATGGTAATTGGGAAAATAATGATACTTTTAGAGAGTGGCATGAAGTGTTGACTAGGATAAATGAGACTGGTGAACCACTTGTCATACTACCATACGTGATAATTGACTGACAGGGATATTTTTTTTCTACTAGACTTTGTGATAAAGACATTTCAAGTCTTAATAGTGTAAATAATAAAAATTAACTTTTTAATGAAGATATATAAAAATACTTCACACATAGGCATGTATCTAGTTGCAGAATGTGTCTTAAAAAGTTTTTTTTTTATAATTATTTGTCTTGTAATACTGTAAAAAAAAAAGTTATTTATTCATTTATTCAAACATAATAATTCATCAAGGAGATCAAAGTAATATTTTTAAATATTAATTTTATATTATAAAATTCTGTTTGATTTGTTAGATTGGAATATTTAACTAATCTGATTCTAAATTTAATTTATAATTAAAAAAAAAAATGTTATGAATTTTCTTGTATTATTTTTATATGCATACAGTTATGTGTAAACCAAAGTGTGTTACATTAAAATAATGTTAACATACTTCGTGCCTTTATGTATTGATTTTTTTTTTAGTAAGCATCATATAATACATGATGTTTGTTACCATGATAAAATTATCCAAATAATGATATAAATAAAAAGGTTAATTAGGTTCATTTCTAAACAAGTTATTCACATTTTATAATATGTTCATATTTTGTTTATTAATCAAAGAACTTCCTCATTTTCTTATTGTTTTAGATGAATTGTTAAATTATTGTAAATATGATTTTTTTTTGTTATTTTTGATCTTTAGTTATTATTTTATTGGCGTAAATATTTTCATCAATTAAGTCATGTATTTTTTTTTATTATTATTATTTTTTATCATAACACATTTACTTTGGGTACTTTTTCTATGTAATTAATTGTTAAATGTACCATGAAAGTTACTCATAATTCGTTTCACAGTATTGTGTTGTGTACTTTGTTGATGTATAATAAAATACAGCAATTGGTTTTTTTTTATTTCGATATTTTTTACTATTTTAATAAAATATTAAATTTTATCTCAATGAACCTATTAATAATATTAGTCAATAAAGCTGAAGTGAGTCAAAATAGTTTATATTTTATAAACTATTTATAATTATTAAATTGTAGTTAAATTATTTGAATAAAAAAAAATATCTACAATCAGATTTTTAATAATTTAAAAATTAAAATGTTAAATACAGTGGTATCTAGTGCAATGGAATTGTGGCGATTCATGTATTAATCTCTAATGCATGTTTAAAACATTTTAACAAAAATTTTCAGTTCTACCAAAATTTTGGTGATTAAATTACATGATTTTCTCTACTATGAAAGCCAATTCCTATTATTAGAAGTCATCTAAACGCTTTTATTTTTTTAAATAAAAAGTACATTTAATGTGATATAATTAGAATGATATAGATATTGCGATACTAGACAAAATAAACTACAAAATCGACCTTTTTACCGAAAACTATATAATGTCCCGCTTTATAGACAGACAACTAGAAATTAAGTGTTCAGATAGTTTTTGTTAGATAACCAGAGTATTGAATGCAAAAGCTTATATCTGTTTAAGAAAAAAGTTGTTTTTCTTATAAAACATAAGTACATATTTACTTTAACTAAAATAAAAATAATGGAGGATTTCGGAATCCTAAAGAAACTTGTAGCTTTGAAGAAAATGTACATGGGAAACACACTGTACAGAGTAAGAGTTGAAAAATATCTGAAGCTTTCGAAGTTAGTACAGGATTAAAACAAGGAGATTCGCTCTCACCTACTTTATTTAATATAGCCTTGAAGAAAGCCATAAGGGAGTTGTAAATGGAAACTACGGGGATAGCGATAGGCCAACAGTGTATACAATTGCTTAGTTTTGCCGACGATTTAAATATCTTAGAAAACTCCGTAGAAGATACGAAAAGAGCAGCTTAAGTGCCCAAACGAGCAGCCAGTAAAATAGGTCTAAAAATTAATATGGATAAAACAAAAATAATGGAACTGCTAGGCGAAGAAGACAACACTGATACGGGATCCCTAGCTTTCGAAAAGGTTAATGAATTTCGGTACCTAGGTGCTGTACTAAGTAAAAACAATAACTGGGCTAAGGAAATAAAAGCAGAAAGAGCAGCTTTCGCTCTAAAAAAGTTCTTAAAGTCAAAAGTATTTTCCAAAAATTTAAAGTAAGGCTGTATACAGCAATAATAAGACCCATACTCACATATGGGTGCGAAGCATAGACTACCACTAGCAATACCGAAAGAAAACTAAGAACTTTTAAGAACAAAATATGGAGGGTAATATGTAGACCAGTATATGATAATGAAAAAGGAACATGAAGGAGAAAGTATAACAAAGAGCTGCAGGAAAAAATGGAAATGGCGCATTAGTAGAAAATTTCATCAGGGGACAAAGGATCCAATGGCTAGGCCACATGTGGCGGCGTAATGAGGACTATATAAACAGAGTAGTCTTGGAGTGAAAGCCCACGGGAAAAAGACCTCGAGGACGACCAAGAAAAAGATGGTTAGATGTACTGGAAGAGGGTCTGAACAGAATGGGAGTTCAAGATTGGAGAGAACTAGCCCAGGACAGAGATAAATGGAGGGATTTAATGATGGTAGTGAAATAAAGAAGAAAAAATAAAAAAAAATATAGTTTAAAAAACTAAAAAAACACGCTTTTAAAGCACATCGAACTAAAAAGTTAAAAATAATTTTTAAAATAAGTTTAAAATAATTATGAAAAAAAATACTAGTATTATTGTGATAAAAGCGTGGGGCGCTCAATATACGAAAAATATGACACAATGCACCCACGCTTTTATCACAATAATACTAGTATTTTTTTTCA